AATTCTGGCATTTTTTCTTTCAGCTAAAATTCTCTCGATTTGCAATATTTCTAAAAAGGGAAGAAATAAGAAGTTTTTTCCTTTTCTAGACATAATACATTGATATTTATGGGGTTTTTTTGGTAGTGCAAAAATGCAAATACACGTTTAGACTTCAATGTCAGACTCAAAAGACATGTTTTTTTCTACGTTGATCAACTATCACATAATCGGAACGATCGCCTCTTCAAAGCAGTCAAAGAAATATGCACTATTCATAGTGTATTGTCTGATAAGCAGAATTTAAAGCTTTCAACACGGCAGATAACATGCTACTGCGAATATTGTTTGGAATGTGATTATTCCAATTGTCTTAAGAAGGACTATGTAAATGGAAAAAGAATATCACGACAGAAAGGTTACTAGAGCTACAGACGTAGAAGAGGACGTAGAAGAAGACCTACCAGAGCATATCTATGACTTTGTCTTTATTGATGCGATAGTTGCAATTGCTTTGGGAGATAAAGGAAGTGACTATTATTTGTTGAAGGTCACCGAGTGCAGCCGCACATTAGACTCGAGAGAAAAAGACGACTGGGGATCCGTATATCCTGCTGGAGCGATAGTCGTGAAAGGTCATTTCTTTGAAGATTTACAACAAACAAGGGACAAAGGCGAACTTTTACTTTTTAAGTATATTTGCGGGAAATGTGCAATTGTTTACTCCACAACCATTACATTCATTTGTAAAAACGTTAAAGTTTTTGATGAGAAAAGCAAAGTCTACTCTTTACCTAGTGAAGAACATGAAGACATTCTAGAATCATTAGGTGGATTCTAGTGTTACATATGCAATAATACCGTGTATTATGTTGCTTATTTCAATAAAACGATGTGATAAAATCATTTTGTAGTTGTTAACTGCATGCTATTTATCCTTCGACTCTTTGAAACTTTTATCGTTTGAAAACTGTTTATCATATTTTGAAATATGACATCATTTCATCATTTCTAGAGTATATGATTGGACAAAACTCTAGAATTATAGAGCCTAGTAAGTGACCCTTAAGTTGCGGAATTACGACTATACGGATTTGATAAAAATGTGTTAACAACAGCTATTTATCAATTGTTGACCACCATGCGAATAATCAAACATTTTTAAAAAGTCTACTGCAAATTATTCTTGATTTTCACAGTCCTGCGTGATGGCGTTGCGTGACACAATTGAATCTGATTGAATCTGAGCCTAATAAAGAATTATAAACTTATCTTTGTTCCTACGTTTTTATATAACACTTAGTTATAACATAGTTATGATGAATATTACTTGCACTGGCATAAAATGCATATTAGAGTTTTCATATTTTTGGTGATGTGACCGAGAACGTGAGTACGTGACAGACGTTTTTTTTCAAACGAGAAACTCCAGTTCTTAACCTGGTTGCAGGTGTACAGAAAAGGTGAGCAGATAATGTAATTTTACCCCTTTTTAAAGTGCACCTTCACGATTTTTTTTTTATCTTTATAATAAAAGTTTAGGTTAATGGAAGCACATCTGTGAAAGAATTTTTCGTTTTTATAAAAAAGCGAATTTTTGGTGAGCTTGCAAACATCGGAAAATGACCACTTTGAGCTCTTTTTTTGGTTCAATACCGGGAAGGACTGGGACTGACTCTGACGTCATCCCAGGCCAAGGCATTTGTTGTCATACAAACTTCAAAGTGAACTAAATCGTGAGTCAACTACAAAAAGCTTATTTTACTTCAAATTTTATACTTTTCCGCATATCAAATGCCCAACAAGTGTGTTGTTGGTGGCTGTAGTAATACGCCAGATCTTTTGAAGGGAATCGGACTTCATCTTATCCCTTTTTTCGGCGATGAAAGGGCCGAAGCAAGAAAGAGGCGAAAGAAGTGGGTCGACTTCGTCAAAGTCAAGCGGGCAAAATGGGAACCTACCAAACATTCAACGGTATGCTCGGCCCACTTTAAGTTGGAATCTTTTGAAAAACGTTTCTCGAACCTTTCTGGGTTGGAAAAGCCCAGTTATCCTCGACTAACGCGAGACGGTGTTGGCATCAATGTCTGTCCAACTCTGCATCCAGGCATTGTAGATTCTCCAAGAAACAAACAAATCGCAGTCGAAGAAAGGTAAAACTTTAGATCAATGTTATTTCAAAGGTTCCATGCATTAACACACAGTTTGGTATTCCTTACAGCTACTAAGAGATTCAATGAACGAGTTCAATGCCGGGACACGAAGCGACACACAAAGCTTACAGGAGAGTGCTCAGCAGTCCAGTGAAGCTCCTCCGAACATTGTCACTACCAAGGTAGTTTTATGAATTTTCTTGTATGCATACTTAGAAGACTTTCTGTCATTTTAATCCATAACATGAATATCAATAAATATATTTTTGTACTATATACAGGTTGATTCGCTTGAATTAGAAGTCACACCGCTTGGGGATGAAACTACTCAGGGCTTTATAGAGACGGTAATAACGAGATTTTTAGGTTTCAGATTAACTCATATACTAGATTTAGCTATCAACTGCCTACCTTTACTTTTGACGTGTTTACTAGATAGATAGCTCCATTCATAGAAGTTTATAGTTACCATGACACCCAAGTAAAAACATTTGACATCATTGTATCATTTTGACAGAATTTCGAAGAGTGCTCAAAGAGAAATGATCTTCAAGCACAAAATAAATTGTTGCACAACAAGGTACTCAGCTTGAAGAAAAAACTGAGGAAAAAGCAGCGTGAGTGGAGCCAATTAAAGAGAGGCAAGTATACAAAATGTCACATATTACAGCACTGGGAACTATCCTATCTCACAATAATTCTTCAACATTATGTGTGCTTTACTTTGAAAATAATAGGGTAATAATATTTTACTTCTGTAACTTGAGATTTCCAATTTCGTCAGGTCTTGCCTCTAAAAAGAAGAGCAAACAGAGGTCTAAGGCAGTTCAAACAGACCAATTTGACCATGAAGCTGAAGATGTCAGGATGAAGTATGAGAGTGGCAGTGAAGTAGATGGAGACACGTACAGTGAATATGAAGATGAGACTGAGACTGAGGAGTCAGCACAGTCGGAAGATGATGCAGACGATATGGCACAGTTATACAATAATAACATTGCAATGGTAAACTTGCGCAAAACATCTTTTTGCTTTTTTATTTTTCTTGCCAAAGTGGCTTATGTAACATGAATTTACCAATTTATGCTGTATATTATTTGTTTCAGGGTTGTCATGAATGACACTAATATACGAACACAACCTAAATATATAGTGTTTCTTACCCAATTGCTCCTGCTGTTCAAGTTTTGCCACTCATGCAAAAGTGACAACCCATTGATAGATGTTACCCAAAATGGAACAGAAGTTGTTGTTAAAAGTGAATGTGGGAACCCACAATGCAAGAAGCGATTGACTGCCTGGCATAGCCAACCTCCTTTGCCAGGCTGGGGCATACCTGCTGGTAACTTCCTACTATCAATGGCAGTTTTACTTGCTGGTGGGTCTATTTCAAAGATCAGACAGATATTTGGACATATGGGTCTTGCATGCATCTCAATGAGCACATTGTTTAGCCACCAAAGGGTGAGTATATCATTCCTGAGTACATACACAGTCTTTTATCAGTTAGAATGCTTCTGTTGTCTTATTCTGTCATCCAGAGCTTTCAATAGAAGGCGGCAACCGGCGATTTATCGCCGGATACTTCTAGCTAATTTGCCGGCTATTTTAGAATCAAAAAGCGTTTTTCCAGCCTTCAGCTCCTTGTAAGTTTCTTTTTGTGTTTTTTACTCATTGTATATTTCTTTTACATGATTTTCAAAAGAACAGTTAATAGTTTTACATTTCTGAAGCTATTTAATATTTTAATTTAATTCATGAAAAA